GCTATTTTACAGATACAGCCACCGCTGGGGATGCTCCAAAAATCAAATACAGCAGGTACGTAAAATCGGAAGTATGTAAACTCCAAAATGAGAAGTACGTAAAATTTTATAGTACAAATATACAGCACGAGAACTGATTTATGTACTTCGGTGGCCAAGTACGTAAATTTCTAGTGGCTAAGTACGTAAAAATCTAAAAGAGGAAAGTGAAGTACGTAAAAATTTACAATACCCATATAAAACTAATATCAAAATGGAAGAGACACATAAAAAATTTACATCAAAAATAAAAAGATCAATTATAAATAATTTTATGATTGAAAACAATATTAAAAATGTTAATTTTCTATATGATGAAAAAAATAAGCAAATTGATTTTGAAATATCATATAATAATGAAAATGGTCAACAAGAAGAAAAATATCAAGAATATTATAAAATAACAAAAAGAAGAGGAAGTAAAAGAAAAAAATACAATAACAATAAAACAAAAAATTTATCAACACCATCTGTTACAGATGATAGTTCATTAAAAGGTAATGATGTATTAGTAAGTAATGAGAATTATAATAGAGAAAAAAATATTAATGAGCTATTAACAGATAATAGTGAAATAGAAGATAATAACAATGATAGTAATAAACGAAGTCTTTCAAATCTTAGTACTCCTGATATTAGTAATACTAAAAAGAAAAGATATAATAAATGTAGAAATTTTGAATACAATGGATGCTATATAAAAGAAGATAGTAATAGAACATATTGTGAACATTGTTTAGAAGATGGTTATTATACAGATGATGGTAATTCAAATAATAATAATTCAGATAATGATAATTCAGATGATAGCAATTCAGATGATGATAAAGAAGATAATGATAGCAATAACATTAATAAAAATTTTCAAAGAGATGAATATTGTTTACAATTGTTATACAATATATTAATGTATGAAAAGAAATTATTAAGTGAAAATAATACCAATAAATTAAAAAATGTGGATATAATATTTGATAGAATAAAGAGTATTTTTATTGATCTTGGATTTTCGTTTGATTTTCATTATAATACATAATAACTGTTTTTAACATTTCAAACAAATTATGATGATATCTTTTTCTAAAAGCATAATCTAAAAAATACAATGTATATAGCTCAGAATCTTTTTTTATATTGGGCATATGTTTTCTTAAATGCATCCAAAAACCTTCTATACTATTAGTATGTATTGTTGAATCATTTGGACCCACAAAATATTTTGAATGATCAACTGCTTTATGAATATATCCTATATTATTTAAGCTTGTATAAGATCGTAAACCATCAGTGATTATAGTTGTTCCTTGATAAACTTGATCCTTGATTATTGGTAATAATGTTGACATTTTTCAATTTTGAATAGGCACCAAAAAGAACAGATTTGAATTTCTTTGATAACCGCCTAATAATTACATATGTTTTCTGTATCGTTTATGCTTTGCAGTAGTAATTTTTGTTTTGCCAAAACAGCATTCGTCGATTTCAACAATTTCATCTTATCTACCAATTACATTTTTCCATAACTCTTGATTGTTAAGGATCCATGTTTTTATCGCAAAGCATATTTTTGAATATAATCGTGTAACTGTTTCATCATCGATTCCCATTTGTAGAGACACTTTTATAGGAGAAGGATCTATATAAAAAACAAATTAATATTCTATATGTTATATTATAAAAGATATATACCAATCATCCATTGACGTAATAGTTCTACTATTTGTATTGGTCGTAGATTTGTTTTTTCAAATAATGTTTCGGCAAATACACCTTTTCTAATATTATCTGGATAATAATAAAATCGATATCTTTGATAATATTTTCCAATGGATAATGGTTTTTCGTATTTTTTACAAATAAAAGGTTTTATAAGTCCTTGCTTTTATAAATAGATTATAGCTTGTTCATCGTCGTAAAGTGTTCAAATAGTGTTTCATTTGATTTAAACATTTTGATAAAGAAAAAGAAAAAAAGTGTTTTATGAAAAATCAAAAAAAAAAATTTATATAACTTTATATATTTTGTGTAACTTACCAAAGAATGCTTGTAACCCTAATTTGTCTGTCTGTTAAAATCAATAGATAATAAGCTGTAGTATATTAATCCCATTCATGTTTTTCCTACTAGTTATATACATACGATCATACCTTTAAGCTGCTGTATCAAAATTATCTGAGAGTAAAACAACTACACATTGTATATGATGACATACGATAAGCAGGTGTTTCTATCGATTTATGGGGGCAGAAAAATGGCCTCTGGGCAAAAGGGGGTAGTCAGCTAAATTGAAAGTTAGCAATGTTAGTGACTAACTCTGGTTTGGAAAACTGCTAATTTTAGCAAATAAATGGATTTAGCAGGCAATTTTTAGCAGGGAATTCTGTGCGCCAGTGGTGGCAAATACCTCTTGAGAACTCATGTTATGTAAAAAAACAGCTTGCAGGTGAAACAAATTGCTACAGAACAAAAAAGTAAGCTAGGTAATAGATACAACACAGAAACAACGATGATGGGATATTAAATTGGTACTGCTTCTGATTCGGTACTAGATGTCTTTCTTTTTTTTTCCAGATTTTGTTGTTATTGGATGAATGATGGCAGTAGAAGAATAGGTCGCTGAGAACCATATTCGTTTTCATCTTCAGTCTCGCTCAATAAATCATACACGTCAGTCATTGTTTTTTTGTATGGTAAATGACTCGGATGATGGACTTGATGTTCTTCAGAAAATCGGATGCAGTCGATGGATAATGATAAAACCGAGCTGGACGATTGATCCTTGAGACACAACTACAAGGACAATCCATAACGATAGGAAGCATATTTAAACCTAGCAGTCAGTCGAATTAGTGGACTAGATGGACGAAGAATAATTGTAGTGTATTGCAAATTAGTAAATTAACTCACCAGAAATGATGATACCACATGTCTTTGTACTTATGAGTTGCGACAGACACTCCTGAACAAGATCATACAGCATATCTTTCAAGTTTTTTGGCAGCTTCATGCCTGCTTCATATAGTGTTTTTGTGCTGTTGACATCGGATATTTTTCCTACTTCCACAGTGCCGAATAACAAATATTCTGTAGTGAAAAGAATGTCGGTTTTTGTACCGATTTTTCGTCTGGATAATGCAGCAAGGGAGCGATCGAGATTAACTCGGGTTGAAGAGGCTTTAGAGACATATTCTCCACTAATCAGAATATAAAACAGACAAGTTAATTTATCATGATAATCCATACGCAATGTTTACCACCAGATACATACGAAATAACATCAAGGTCTCCATTGTCGAAACAACAGTCAATTATTGACCATGCTCTCTTCATATAATCAGCTTCGGTCTTAAATTTTTTGTGCAGGCCATGCATCAAGTTCTCCAACACATTCCTCACTGATGAATGAACCCAGTAAAGGTCTGCATCACGAATTGGGTGGAGGCTATGTTTCGTATATTCGTTCCAGAGTTCATCCAATGTTTTCTATTGTTGCAAAAAAAATGTTATACATGTCTTAAAGCAAAGAAAAAACAAGAAACAAGAAACCTACCAAGCCGTTGTAGTAATCCAAATATGTTTGCATGCTTTTAGGTAATTCTGAGAGTGTTACTTTTTTTTCATCCTCTATTTCTTTCAATTCACTCTTAGTAAAATACTCGAGCCAGACTGGATCAGGGGTTTAAACCTTAGTTGCTGTTTTTTATGTAAACAAAGATTTGAGAATTATTAAAGGGTTGAGATTTATTATCGTGTTTGAGATTTTTCAAACATTTTATTTTTAAAATTATAAAAATTGAATTTTAATTTAAAAGAAAAATAATATATCAAAAAGGATTATAAAAAACAATATGGTTGCCTTCAATGATTTTCTTCCAATTAATCTTATCAATCTAAGGATTAATTTATGTCATGAATTAAATATGTTTATGCAATTAGAATTTGAAGATTTTATTAAAAAAAATATGCTTGAAAAAATCCAAAAAAAAATTAATTCAAAAGTTAAAGATATATTTTCTAATAGTTATTTTTTATATATATCTATGCATAATAGTTTTTGCACATATAAATTTAAAAAAGGAAAACATGAAGGTAAGTTTTGTAGTAAGAAAATTAGAACAAATTTACCAGATGATAAAAAGGATTATATGTGTTGCAAACATAGTAAACTACATATTCCTAAAAAGAAGTATAAACAGGATGTAGTGAGTAAAAACAGTAAGATATATAATGAGAGGGAAATTAAAAATAAAATAAAATCCCAAAAAAATAAAAAAAATAAAAAAAAGAAAAAAGATAAATATAAGATTATTCTTGGAAACCCTTTATTATTTTCCTTTTCAGAATTTTTTCCATAATTTGATTTTTTACACGTTATTTAGTATCAAAATATTATAGGTAGAGTATATCTTTTTATATATTAGAATACTTTTTAAATAATTATATATATTATAATTATAATCAACTTTTTAGGGTGTTAAAAACTTTCTAGTAGAATGTCAAAATAAAAAAAAATTAATTTTGACATTTTACTAAAAATATAAAAATCTTTGATTTTTATCCAGACGGAAAAGAAAAAAAAGAATGGGTTTAATATTATATAATATTTAATTAGTAAAATGACATTTTACTAAATATTAATAAAAACAAAAAAAAAGAATTCTTTTTTTTCTTTTCCGTCTGGTCAAGAATCTTTGATTCTTGTAAAATAAATTTTATAATATATATGATGGTGGAATGGCATTTTTTTTTTTTAAAAAAATGGCAATTCACTTAAATGAGAAAATATTAATAAATATAAAAATTATTGATTTTATTTTAATATTTAATAAATAATGGAGAATTATCTTTTTTCTTTTTTATAATGACTCTATCAAGAAATATGATGAGTTTGATAAAATTCAAACCTTTAGCCATCAAAGATGGTCATCTTATTTCTATTTGTGACTTTAATATATATAAATTTAAACTCTAAAATAAAGAAATTTTAGTAATTTATATAAATTTTATAACAAATTCTCAAATATACGCATAGTGATTAACCCTCTCAGAAGTGTCTAAAATCATTGAATGACTAAGGCTAGAAAAGAATAAAAAATTAAGTACGAGAGAAGAAGAGGAAGGGTAAAACAATCAAGAATAAATACTTACTGTTCGTTGGACAGTTTGATGGCAAGCTCCTTAACTTTATCTTCCACCACCGTCCCAGTACTAAGTGTCCAAAAGGTGTTGCGATTGAGACTTTGGTACGAAATATAACTTATAGTTAAAAGATAATAAAAGGTTTATAGGTCATTAAAAAATTATAATATTTTTTAATGTAATAAGTCTAAAAATTAAAAACTATATTTATAAATATGGTTTTTTAATTTTGTAATCCTAATAAAATTTGTAATTATTAAGTATTTTTGTAATTCTTATGAATACAAAAATTTTGTAAATATAAAATAGGGGTGGTTGAGAAACTTGCTTTCGAAACGTTTGGGGCTCGATAATGAGATTTAGACCAATAACAAAAACATTTATGTTTTGTTATTATAAGAGAGAACAAATGCTATGATTTGTTCCTCTACATCGCGTCAAACTTCTTATAGTCGCCTTCTTTTAGTTTTGGGGTGGTATTATTAGTGGTGGTAGTATTTTTTGTCGATGATGCTTCTGAAGGGGTTGCCGATTGGTTTTTGGATAAATGTTCGAAAAATGCTGTGGTCAGCACACCCCAGTCAACCTGGGATTTAGCCTAACAATTTGCCAGATATATAAAAAATGAATAACGGTGAACTTTTGAAACATGTATTAAACTGCTCTTTTTTGTGTCATATATATTTAAGTACCTACTACAGTCAAGTTATGTTTGCGGACAATCTTTGCAAAACGCACAGACCACAAGTCTTTATAATTTTCACCAAGATCCATTATTGACGCGATGAACTGACGTTTGCTCTTGATGAGCTCGTCCAACTTCAAAGGGTGATTTGCTTGGTCAAGAACATATTGCTCTATAACTTTTTGTAACATGGATTATAACATTTTAGTGGCCATTGTCGTGTTCCTTGATATTGGCTTTGTACTGCTTAACTTCTATTATGTCTTGACTTGAATTGAAAATCTTAAGTACTCAAATATTCTGCTCTGCTACACTTAATATATTATCTACTTCAACTTTTATTATGTCTTAGTTGACTAAAACTATGTCCAGGTTGACTGTTATTATGTCTAGGTTGTCTATTATTCATGTTTAGATTGATTATTATTCTTGTCCAGAATGATTTTTATTTATGTACAGATTGATTTTTATTTTGTCCAGGTTGATTTTACTCATGTCTAGATCGATTTATATTCATGTCCAGGTCGATTTATATTCATGTCCAGATCGTTTTATATTCATGTCTAGATCGATCTTTATTCATGTCCAGCTTGATTTTCATTCATGTCTAGATCGATTTTCATTCATGTCCAGCCTAATTTTCATTCATATCCAGCTCGATTTTCATTCATGTCCAGATCAATTATTATTCATATCCAGATTAACTTTTATTCATGTCCACTTAGATTAACATTCATGTCTACTCTGCCTAAAATTAAATCCCCTCTGCCTAAATAAAAGTTCAAACGTCTACTAGGAGATGAAAAATCCTGTATAATATATTTCAAGATATAATATAGTTAGAAAAAAACAAATAAAAAATAAAGTTTTAAAATCTATCAATTATAATAATAATTACTACTTACTTTTAATATATTTAACTTAATCTTTCTTATTTTATATTCTAAATTTTCATACTTTAATAAAAGATGATCTTATTCATCCATATACTTATAGTTTTTATTTTCATCAAGAGAAATTTTATTATAATATTCTAAAGCAAAATATAATTCTTTTATACTTGTTACATTATAGTCAGAAAATGTTTCTCTAGTTTTTATATTATATTCTTTTGCTTCAATTATTTCTATTTTATTATTTTTATCTTCATTTATTACTTTCTTCTTTTTCTTATAATTAGAGATGTTTATATATGCTCCCTTTTTAATATTTTATTTTTTAGTATTTTAATATTTTATTTTTTAGTATATTAAAATTCAATTTTAAAAATAAAAAATATGCAAAATAAATTTTTGTCAGTAACTATATTTTCTAAGTTTTAATTAACCCTATATTCTATACTTAATCTAAACTATTAGCTTGTATTGAACTCAATTATATTTATAGAAAGCTAACTCCAATCATGCTAGTAATTACTTTTGGCAAGAGGAAGCGAATTAGTGGACTGGATGGACGCAGAATAATTGTAGTATATTGCAAATTAGTAAATTAACATACCAGAAATGATGATACCATATGTCTTTATATTTATGAGTTGCGACGGACACTCCTGAACAAGATCATACAGCATATCTTTCAAGTTCTTTGGCAGCTTCATGCCTGCTTCATATAGTGTTTTTGTGCTGTTGACATCGGATATTTTTCCTGCTTCCACAGTGCCGAATAACAAATATTCCGTGGTGAAAAGAATGTCGGTTTTTGTACCGATTTTTCGTCTGGATAATGCAGCAAGGGAGCGATCGAGATTAACTCGGGTTGAAGAGGCTTTAGAGACATATTCTCCGCTAATCAGAATATAAACAGACAAGTTAATTTATCATGATAATCCATACGCAATGTTTACCACCAGATACATACGAAATAACATCAAGGTCTCCATTGTTGAAACAACAGTCAATTATTGACCATGCTCTCTTCATATAATCAGCTTGAGTCTTAAATTTTTTGTGCAGGCCATGCATCAAGATCTCCAACACATTCCTCACTGATGAATGAACCCAGTAAAGGTCTGCATCACGAATTGGGTGGAGGCTATGTTTCGTATGTTCGTTCCAGAGTTCATCCAATGTTTTCTATTGTTGCAAAAAAAATGTTATACATGTCTTAAAGCAAAGAAAAAACAAGAAACAAGAAACCTACCAAGCCGTTGTAGCAATCCAAATATGTTTGCATGCTTTTAGGTAATTCTGAGAGTGTTACTTTTTTTTCATCCTCTATTTCTTTCAATTCACTCTTAGTGAAATACTCGAGCCAGACTGGATCAGAAGTGTCTAAAATCATTGAATGACTAGGGCTAGAAAAGAACAAAAAATTAAGTACGAGAGAAGAAGAGGAAGGGTAAAACAATCAAGAACAAATACTTACTGTTCATTGGACAGTTTCATAGCAAGCTCCTTAACTTTATCTTCCACCACCGTCCCAGTACTAAGTGTCCAAAAGGTGTTGCGATTGAGACTTTGGTACATCGCGTCAAACTTCTTATAGTCGCCTTCTTTTAGTTTCGGGGTGGTATTATTGGTGGTGGTAGTATTTTTTGTCGATGATGCTTCTGAAGGGGTTACCGATTGGTTTTTGGATAAATGTTCGAAAAATGCTATGGTCAGCACACCCCAGTCAACCTGGGATTTAGCCTAACAATTTGCCAGATATATAAAAAATGAATAACGGTGAACTTTTGAAACATGTATTAAACTGCTCTTTTTTGTGTCATATATATTTAAGTACCTACTACAGTCAAGTTATGTTTGCGGACAATCTTTGCAAAACGCACAGACCACAAGTCTTTATAATTTTCACCGAGATCCATTATTGACGCGATGAACCGACGTTTGCTCTTGATAAACTCGTCCAACTTCAAAGGGTGATTTGCTTGGTCAAGAACATATTGCTCTATAACTTTTTGTAACATGGATTATAACATTTTAGTGGCCATTGTTGTATTCTCATTCAGATCCATTGTTATTATTACTCTTTACCTTCGTCAATGGTATCCATGGCAACAAAAGACCTAATGTTTTAAAACAACTTTACACCTGCTCCTAGTTTCCCAGTAACAATTTAGGCAAGAAGTGGCAAATGGTAATGTTAAAAGAGCGATGATATTTAAATTTTATCTAAATTTGCATAATATTTTTTTAAGAATTAAATTTTATAATATATATAAAACTAATATCAAAATGGAAGAGACACATAAAAAATTTACATCAAAAATAAAAAGATCAATTATAATTAATTTTATGATTGAAAACAATATTAAAATGTTAATATTCTATATGATGAAAAAAATAAACAAATTGATTTTGAAATATCATATAATAATGAAAATGGTCAACAAGAAGAAAAATATCAAGAATATTATAAAATAACAAAAAGAAGAGGAAGTAAAAGAAAAAAATACAATAATAATAAAACAAAAAATTTATCAACACCATCTGTTACAGATGATAGTTCATTAGAAGGTAATGATGTATTAGTAAGTAATGAAAATTAAAATAGAGAAAAAAATATTGATGAGCTATTAACAGATAATAGTGAAATAGAAGATAATAACAATGATAGTAATAAACGAAGTCTTTCAAATCTTAGTACTCCTAATATTAGTAATACTAAAAAGAAAAGATATAATAAATGTAGAAATTTTGAATACAATGGATGCTATGTAAAAGAAGATAGTAATAGAACATATTGTGAACATTGTTTAGAAGATGGTTATTATACAGATGATGGTAATTCAAATAATAATAATTCAGATAATGATAATTCAGATGATAGCAATTCAGATGATGATAAAGAAGATAATGATAGCAATAACATTAATAAAAATTTTCAAAGAGATGAATATTGTTTACAATTGTTATACTATATATTAATGTATGAAAAGAAATTATTAAGTGAAAATAATACCAATAAATTAAAAAATGTGGATATAATATTTGATAGAATAAAGAGTATTTTTATTGATCTTGGATTTTCGTTTGATTTTCATTATAATACATAATAACTGTTTTTAACATTTCAAACAAATTATGATTATATCTTTTTCTAAAAGCATAATCTAAAAAATACAATGTATATAGCTCAGAATCTTTTTTTATATTAGGCATATGTTTTCTTAAATGCATCCAAAAACCTTCTATACTATTAGTATGTATTGTTGAATCATTTGGACCCACAAAATATTTTGAATGATCAACTGCTTTATGAATATATCCCATATTATTTAAGCTTGTATAAGATCGTAAACCATCAGTGATTATAGTTGTTCCTTGATAAACTTGATCCTTGATTATTGGTAATAATGTTGACATTTTTCGATTTTGATAGGCACCAAAAAGAACAGATTTGAATTTCTTTGATAACCGCCTAATATCCACATATGTTTTCTGTATCGTTTATGCTTTGCAGTAGTAATTTTTGTTTTGCCAAAACAGCATTCGTTGATTTCAACAATTTCATCTTATCTACCAATTACATTTTTCCATAACTCTTGATTGTTAAGGATCCATGTTTTTATCGCAAAGCGTATTTTTGAATATAATCGTGTAACTGTTTCATCATCGATTCCCATTTGTAGAGACACTTTTATAGGAGAAGGATCTATATAAAAAACAAATTAATATTCTATATGTTATATTATAAAAGATACATACCAATCATCCATTGACGTAATAGTTCTACTGTTTGTATTGGTTGTAGATTTGTTTTTTCAAATAATGTTTCGGCAAATACACCTTTTCTAATATTATCTGGATAACAATAAAATCGATATCTTTGATAATATTTTCCAATAGATAATGGTTTTTCGTATTTTTTACAAATAAAAGGTTTTATAAGTCCTTGCTTTTGTAAATAGATTATAGCTTGTTCATCGTCGTAAAGTGTTCGAAATAGTGTTTCATTTGATTTAAACATTTTGATAAAGAAAAAGAAAAAAAGTGTTTTATGAAAAATCAAAAAAAAAAATTTTATATAAGTTTATATATTTTGTGTAACTTACCAAAGAACGCTTGTAACCCTAATTTGTCTGTCTGTTAGAATCAATAGATAATAAGGAGTTATCTTCGGGGATTGGCTTGGGTCACAAAACTGAGTCACCAGCCAAATTGTGACCTTACACACAATAATCGCATTGTAGAAAAAATTTGAGTACCCGCTAGGTCACCGCTATGAATCATTTATGACACATCTTGCATATGCCTTTGACATGACACACATCCTTAGACTCAACGAGCGTAGCAGTAACAATGCAATAACACGTACATTGACTCATTCTCAATTAGATGAGCATCAGTGTTTTCTTTGCTATCACAAATGATATAAATAAAAGACCGTTTACTATTCTCAAAAATGTTGCCTTTATTTATTTGCAATACGTTTCCAACTTTTCAAGCTCTATACTTTTTTCTAACACATCTTTGTCAATTATGTCTCTCAACACCACTGCCAGCTCCTCTACGTATCAGGCTTCGCAAATGGCTATGTGTGAATCTATGAATGAAACGCACCGTGAAGCACTCGAAGCACGCCCAGCCAACACGAAGAAAACCTATGTCAACAAGCAAACGGAATACCGTCAATGGTGCGATAGAATGATGCCACATTTGCCTACAGAAACTCGTTATATTGTTTATGGCGACAAGCTCCATTTGTTTCTCAAAGAAGAGGTATGTACAATAATTATGAAATGTGCGACTTCAAACTCATAGTTTTGCTGTACTGCTTCTTAGCTTATACAATCTCAATTAACAGGTCATGAACCGTGATGCTCGTCGCAAGGGCAAAGGATCGACCCAGCTCAAGAAAATCAAAGCTTCCACTTTCATGAGCTACGTTGCCGCCATCGTCGATTTATATCAGCAACAAGTTCGTTCGTTTGCCAATAGTCATCCTCATCCACATAGCGCTGTCAAGGAACTTATCGACCTCGTTCAAATCCGCGAAGAAAGCCAACGACGTGAGAATTATGACGAACGTGCACTTGGAACATTGATCGATGGATATACGATCACCGATCAGATTGCCGACGTTGTCGATTACTACATGGCCAAGAACGAGGGTCTCACTTGCGCAATGCTCTCGCATTTTTGCTTTCTCACTATTGTTTGTTGCGAAGCGAGTCGGCACGGAAGGCTACCTTACCCGATATGCACAGTGTCGAATTGGAGCGTGAAGGCCCGTCCGAATGCCATTCCCTCATGATGATTATCAAGCAAGGAAAGACAAACAAGCACGGTCGTCTGAAACTTGTCGCCTGCATCCGGAACACTCGCGTCGAGATATGCCCCTTCATGGCTCTTTCTTTTTATTTTTCCTGGCGTTGGCATGTCGAAAACGAACCATTCCCCGTCTTCATTCATAACCAAGATTGGTATGATATCCGCTTGCTCAAGAGCACCTCTCCTTCCGCCACCAACACCATCGAAATCTCATATCAGCAGCAACTTCGAGCAATCGACGAGGCGTTTGCCAAATGTAACATTGTCTCCTCCAAGAAGACACATGCCGCCCGTGAATCCTCATGCAAGATAGCAGATTTGGATGGTGCCGACGAGGCGCAGATAAGAAGATTAGGCAGATGGAACAACACTACGATGAATGGTGCTTACTTGACAAGTCTTCCTCGTGAAGTCATGCGTGTCTTGGCCGGCTTTCCTGCTCAACAGGGTCACTTCTTTCTGCCTCGTGCTGCCGTTGACCCTCCTCAAGAATTATGCAAAAAGATTTTTCCTCGTGTCGAATACTGGCTGGAAACAATTCGACCTGATCAAGTGGCTGCCGCCGGTTTCTGCGTCTCTTAGGTGTTCTGCGCGTTACGTTTCTTCAAGACGCTGTGCTTATGCAAGAAAAGTATCCACATCATCCAATTTTTCTCAATCATATATTCAGAGAGCCGCTATACATCCAGTTCAAAGAGTAAGTATTGATTTTAAAAAATGCACAAGATGATCATCAATATGGTACTAATTGTTGTAACTATTTTGACTATTAGAGATCTTCAACGATCCATCCGAGAAGATGCCACCCCTCAAGATCTGCTCTTGCAACGTGCCGTACCTCACCTTGAGCAACGCATGAGCACGATGAACAATGAAATGGTTTCGCGGTTAGATGCAATGCAAATGCAGATGGAAAATATGACGAAGAACCTTTCTGACCTCGTATCCGGCCGTGCGACGGTAAACCTAAGCATCAATTGGCCATCATCATCATCATCAGCAGCAGCAGCAGCACCAATGCCAACACAGCAGCACTATCCAGAGCAGCAGCCAACAACAGCAACAGTTACATCCATCCCGAGTTCAGCACCTTCTGAATCATTGGGTCTTGATGCAACGAGTGAGCCACCGTTTTACATGATGAGCCGGGGAATCAAGAATGTCACTGACCTTTGGGCAGAGTGGTCGGTTGGGCTTACTGGAGGCTATGCAGTGAAAACACTGGAACAACGTTGGGGTGCAAAATGGAGAAACGGCGATCACAAGTTCTTCAGTCGCAGAATCAAGATCATTAAGGAGGTTGAGCGATTTGCCTCTGCCAAAGGGATTTCGGAAACGACAGGAGCAGCAATGGGCGAAGAAAGGCGCAATGCTCTTGGACTTAGCTTAAACGAGCTTAACAAACAGGCGACAACGATTTTCCAAAATATTTAGGTGTTTATGATAGCTCTTTTCTCCCTTTGCTACTTGTTCAGCAGACCCACTTAAACTAATTACTTGAAATAAATGAAACATATTTTGTTTGAAGAAGATAAGAAGCGTCGCTTATTGTAAAATATCTTTCCGTCATATGTTTTAGATTTACTGTTGTAATGGCGAAATCGCAAGTATAATATAGATGAATTTGAAAATGGAACACATGACAATGACAATGACAGGTAGTAGCATAGCAACGGTGTCAGAAACAAAAGGACAGAGAGTAATATTATTATTTTGTGACCCGCATGACAATAACTCCAGTTATTTTTCATATAGATGGCAGAAAACAAGTGTTATTTCTTGCGGGTCCCTTTGCGGGTGACCTGCTGTGACATGTCGGGACATTGAGGTTGTATAATAAGCTGTAGTATATTAATCCCATTCATGTTTTTCCTACCAGTTATATACATACGATCATACCTTTAAGCTGCTGTATCAAAATTATCTGAGAGTAAAACAACTACACATTGTATATGATGACATACAATAAGCAGGTATTTCTATCGATTTATGGGGGCGGAAAAATGGCCTCTGGGCAAAAGGGGGTAGTCAGCTAAATTGAAAGCTAGCAATGTTAGTGACTAACTCTGGTTTTGAAACTGCTAATTTTAGCAAATAAATGGATTTAGCGGGCAATTTTTAGCAGGGAATTCTGTGCGCCAGTATTGGCAATACCTCTTGAGAACTCATGTTATGTAAAAAAACAGCTTGCAGGTGAAACAAATTGCTACAGAACAAAAAAGTAAGCTAGGCAATAGATACCAACGCCAGAAACAATGATTGTAATGATATGATGGGATATTAAATTGGTACTGCTTCTGATTCGGTACTAGATATCTTTCTTTTTTTTCCAGATTTTGTTGTTATTGGGATGAATGATGGCGGTAGAAGAATAGGTCGCTGAGAACCATATTCGTTTTCATCTTCAGTCTCGCTCAATAAATCATACACGTCAGTCATTGTTTTTTTTGTATGGTAAATGACTCGGATGATGGACTTGATCTTCTTCAGAAAATCGGATGCAGTCGATGGATAATGATGAAACCGAGCTGGACGATTGATCCTTGAGACACAACCACGAGGACAATCCATAACGATAGGAAGCATATTTAAACCTAGCAGTCAGTCGAATTAGTGGACTGGATGGACGAAGAATAATTGTAGTGTATTGCAAATTAGTAAATTAACTCACCAGAAATGATGATACCACATGTCTTTATATTTATGAGTTGCGACAGACACTCCTGAACCAGATCATACAGCATATCTTTCAAGTTCTTTGGCAGCTTCATGCCTGCTTGATATAGTGTTTTTGTGCTGTTGACATCGAATATTTTCCTGCTTCCACAGTGCCGAATTCCAAATATTCTGTGGTGAAAAGAATGTCGGTTTTTGTACCGATTTTTCTTCTAGATAAGGCAGCAAGGGAGTGATCGAGATTAACTCGGGCTGAAGAGGCTTTAGAGACATATTCTCCGCTAATTAGAATATAAACAGACAAGTTAATTTATCATGATAATCCATACGCAATGTTTACCACCAGATACATACGAAATAACATCAAGGTCTCCATTGTCGAAACAACAGTCAATTATTGACCATGCTCTCTTCATATAATCAGCTTCGGTCTTAAATTTTTTGTGCAGGCCATGCATCAAGTTCTCCAACACATTCCTCACTGATGAATGAACCCAGTAAAGGTCTGCATCACGAATTGGGTGGAGGCTATGTTTCGTATGTTCGTTCCAGAGTTCATCCAATGTTTCTATTGTTGCAATAAAAAATGTTATACATATCTTAAAGCAAAAAATAAACAAGAAACAAGAAACCTACCAAGCCGTTGTAGCAATCCAAATATGTTTGCATGCTTTTAGGTAATTCTGAGAGTGTTACTTTTTTTTCATCCTCTATTTCTTTCAATTCACTCTTAGTGAAATACTCGAGCCAGACTGGATCAGAAGTGTCTAAAATCATTGAATGACTAGGGCTAGAAAAGAACAAAAAATTAAGTACGAGAGAAGAAGAGGAAGGGTAAAACAATCAAGAACAAATACTTACTGTTCGTTGGACAGTTTCATGGCAAGCTCCTTAACTTTATCTTCCACCACCGTCCCAGTACTAAGTGTCCAAAAGGTGTTGCGATTGAGACTTGGTACATCGCGTCAAACTTCTTATAGTCGCCTTCTTTTAGTTTCGGGGTAGTATTATTGGTGGTGGTGGTATTTTTTGTCGATGATGCTTCTGAAGGGGTTGCCGATTGGTTTTTGGATAAATGTTCGAAAAATGCTGTGGTCAGCACACCCCAGTCAACCTGGGATTTAGCCTAACAATTTGCCAGATATATAAAAAATGAATAACGGTGAACTTTTGAAATATGTATTAAACTGCTCTTTTTTGTGTCATATATATTTAAGTACCCACCACAGTCAAGTTATGTTTGCGGACAATCTTTGCAAAACGCGCAGACCACAAGTCTTTATAATTTTCACTGAGATCCATTATTGACGCGATGAACCGACGTTTGCTCTTGATGAACTCGTCCAACTTCAAAGGGTGATTTGCTTGGTCAAGAATATATTGCTCTATAGCTTTTTGTAACATGGATTATAACATTTTAGTGGCCATTGCCGTGTTCTTATTCAGATCATCGTTATTGTTACTCTTTACCTTCGTCAATAGTATCTATGGCAACAAAAGACCTAATGTTTTAAACCAACTTTACACCTGCTCCCAGTTTCCCAGTAACAATTTGGGCAAGAAGCGGCAAATGGTAATTTTAAAAGAGCGATGATATTTAAATTTTATATATATAAAATGGGTGCGCAAATTTTTATGTACTTCCATTTTCAGCGATTGCAGGAAAAGCAGTCGCTCTGGTAGGAAAACCGGTCTCTTTTTTCTGAGTGCGTTCCTTGACTACTTACACTCACTAGTCTTACAAACTCACTGATGTCGTATTCTAAGCACTGCTATAACGATCCTCTCATATACATTGTTACACCAATTTCATGGATCAAGACTCACACGCATAATATTCTCCATATTGCCCGACATCGTAAAATAACCACTTATTCTCCTTAACAAAGTTAACCCATGGGAAAACGTCTAGTAATCACCATCACGTAATCCTTTCAAACAGTATAAATAGTGGTATCAAAAGTCATTAGTAATATCCTGAGATGGAAAAATTGACCCTGAATAAAGACCCTACCAAGATTCTCAAGTGCTTCTACAGTCTCCTAATATCTCACCTAACACTTTTCATACCACATTTTTTTTCACTTGAATTATCTACCATGAACAACAGCAACCAACAAACCTCCACCCCCTCTTCTCCCCGTGCCGACGATGAACCCCAAATCAACCAAGAACAAACATCCTCGCCGGCCCAAGCCAACTCGGAAATGGAAGGCGTCGAGTACCAAGAGCTCGATCTTCAAGGTTCGCTGGAGTCCGAGCACGCCGACCCCCAAGTGGTCTTCGAGAAGTCCATCAACTTCTACAAGAAACGCATTGGCGAACTCAGCATCAGCCTCGCACACGCCCTCACCAAGAACGATGCCTATGAAGAGCGCAAGACCCTGACTTCTCGGATCAAAAAAGCTCAAGCAAACCTCCACCGCTTCCAAGACCTCCTGAAGGACCTGACTGCGGATAACCAACCTGGCAAGGAAACAGAACAGGCACCAATGCAGAAGAAACCCGCGTGCCGAATGACATACAAGGACTTACCCGTATTCCAGCTCTCCGGTGCGCATATTTGGCACCACAACAAGGAAGTATTTAGCTCACCAAGCCATTTCGCTCGTACCTTCGAGCTCGCATTGTCCGCCATGGAAGGTGATCTGGACCGCGACTGGGAAAAGTGGCTCCCCCTCGCCATTCACCACGACCATGACGCCTAGGTTGAAAGAGAGCTCAAGGGCAAGGGACTGTCATGGAAAAAGGCCAAGAAAACATTCCTTCATCACTTCGAGTCATCTGATCGAATCATTGCCAAGGCCACCGAGGTGTTCACGATGACCATGCGCAGCAACGAAAGTACGCTCGACTATGGTACGAGGTTCCTCGCCGCTGCCCGCGAGGCAGAAATAACGGATAGCCAACAATTAGCCCTGCGCTTCCTGGCCTCGCTACTGCCGCACATTCGCGAAAACACGTTGGTCGCCTGGCACGGCCGCAAAGGAAAGAAGTTGCCGAAGTCCGTCTCTGCCGCCCTAGAGATCGCCCAAGCCGTGTCCATGCACAAGCGCACTCACCAGCAGTCGTACGCTGCAGAGGATTCCTCCTCGCGCGCACACTCACGTCGCCGCACACACACAAACTCATCAAATACACCCGCAGGCTCGCAAAGTCACCGTCCTGTTGGTTGTTCATACCATGGGCCCAGCGCTCATCATTCGTCCGCCGAGTGCAAAAAATTGGGCAAAATGACTGCCACCAACAATTGTAAATGGTGCAAGAAGCCATGGTCAGTTGGACACAAATGCCCAGAATTCTACGAACACAAGGCGAAAGAAAGCAGCAGCAATAACAACAGCAACACCGGCGCCTCCTCAGGTCCAAGAATTCGCGCAGTCACGCGCACAGAACAATCAAACAACGGCGGAAA